AGTGTTTGTAGAAGAGACTAGGGAATGATAAAACAATTTACCAGGTACAAAGACTAAGGCAGCACTTCAATGAAAAGTAAAGTGTGCAGTTGCCATCTGGTGGTGAATGTGAGCAGTTACAGGGAGAAGTCTGTTATTCTACAAGTATTTGTTGAGAGCTTTGTATGCCAGATACTAGGGACTAGGGACTAGGGTTACAGCAGTGAATAGATCAGATAAAAAAGCTGCCCTGTGGTGCTTCTGTTAGCTATTCTGTGGAGATACCATGGCAAAGGAAGGGGAGCCAGAGTCAGTACCTTAATTAAGTAGTGTTTGGGGGCTTGAAATACCCAATTACAGTTGGCCATGTCATTGTAATCTTCAGGATAATGAAGACTCTGTATGAGGCCTTCTTCAAAAAGGACAGCCAAGGACCTGCAGCCGGAATCTGAAACACAAGGGAAAACATGCAAACAGTGTCATCAGCCAAGCAAAGAGGAACCCCTTTGTTTTTCCTCTTGTCTCCCACAAATGATGCGTGACCTGAATCTGCAGGCTGAGTCAGCAAGAAGGAAGAGGTTCATGCACTGATTTTCCAGAACTCACTGGGCATGCTCAGCTCACTTAGGTGTGCAATCGCAGCACCATAGGAGCGCTGTGCCTGGTGTCTCACACCAGCACACCTGTACCTGCTCTATGCTGATTCACAGGCCTGTGCTCCTCTCCACCTTGGAGCCAAGGGGGCCTTGGGAGGGGGCTCCCTGCCCCTCACCCAATTCCTATGGGGCCTCAGCTTTTACAAAAGGCCTGGATAGTGTGTGATAAAAGAAAAATGGTTTTACCAGGAAGGTAGTTTGGCTTAAGAGCTTTGTAGGTGAGATTAAAACCAGCGGCGTAATCTGTGGCATCAGAGATGAACTTCAGCCTCAAAGAGTTGGAGGCAACAAGAACTGATGAAGCGAGGCTTTCTCCACAGAATTTCCCTGCAACATAAGAAGATTCTCTGTTCAGAGTCTAGAAAACAGCACCCATTCAAAGACTGAAGGAGACCTGAACTTGTCATGATAGTGCAGGATCGTCTAACCTGGGGTTTCTCAACCTTGGCACTACTGACATTTTGAACTGGAACGTTCTTTGTGTTCAGGCTCCTGTGCATTGTAGGGTGTTTTGCACATTCCTGGCCTCTGACCTCTAGATGCCTGTACTTCTCCCTGCAGCTGTGACAACAAAAAAGCTTCTAAGACACTGCCAACCGTCTCCTGAGAGGCAAAATCACCTCCAGTTAAGAACCACTGAAACGCCTCTTCACTTCTATGTTTTATATAAGCAACTTTTCTCTCCTACTCGTGAGTATCCATTTTTACTTTTAGCTGAACGAGACAGGGAAAGACGGTTTTCATGCCTAGAAAAGCCCCATGCTGCCTGGGAGGCAGGGGCCCTGCAGGGTGCCTACATTTTACTCCTGATGGGCTCCAGGTCTGAAACGAGCTCGGAAGCCTGGTTCCATGGGAAGCCGATGCAGCGAGCAAAATGCACTGTGGCCTCCCAGCCATCACACAGCCCCAGATTTAGTTTCTTCCCACCATCCATGCTGAGTCTCAAAAGTTGGAGACAGGAAATGTGGTGGGTACAGATGGCTCAGTGCCAGACATACTGTATCCAGGCCCCACGAAGCCCTCTGAGCACTGGTGTCCATTTGACAATGTGGAAATCCACTCACCAAGAAGTCTGTCTTCTAAAGAATGCATTGACAGGTAATTGTGGTCACAAGACTCCGCATCCAAGTGGGAAAAGCTGAGTAACACATGCATGTCCTCGGGTACCAACAGCGTCCAGACACAAAGTCTGCAGGCAGATACGTCGGGAGGGTGTTATTTCTAGACAGAAAGTGGCTGTCCCGGTTACTGGGCACAGTCAGGCCGGAGGTGGGAGTCGGGGGAGGAGTGGCAGAGCGGGCTACTCACTGCTTGCTGTCATAATAGAGGTAGGGGCTCTCTGGGAAGTGCAGCTCCCCCTCCGACTCCCTGACCACTCGATCCTTCTCCCTGCAGGCGGCTGGGAGGGAAGCCACAGAATCAGGCTAACAAAGATGGCTAGTCACAGCAGCCCTCGCTTTCCAGGACCCCAGACAGACGCTGGGACCTCCTGGTTCTTCGTTATGTACGCTTCCTTTTTTCACGAAACCTTTTCCTGCCTTGGTTCCAGATGCCTTTTGTTTATTTATTTTTGTTCTTTTTAGGTCCTGCTTAACCTTGAGATTCTGTGATTATTTTCCCCTAACCTCTTCTTTCTCTGACCCCATACTCCATTCTATAAATACAGGTAGTTCCCAGGTTCTGTGATTAATTTTCATCTCTCTCTGCCTGGGCCCTCTGACCAGTCTCATTCATACCCTCAGTTTCAACTATCGTCTCTACATTTCTAAACTTTAGACCTGATTTTTCAATTGTCTCCTAGGTATCGCCCCTGAAACTTAACATGCTACAAACGAAATTTGTCTGGGTATGCAAGAGTGCTTCCACGTCAGCTTTGATTATTTTTATCGGCCCCTTTCTTAGTCTGTCCTGCCTAAAACTTCGGTAGCATCCTTGATTTCCCCCCTCTCCACCCTTCATCTCAGTGACCAACAAGTCCTAATTCTTCTTGTTTCTGTTCCCTCCTCATCCTCTGGCCCTTGCCCTAGGTCAGTGGTCGGTAAACTCATTAGTCAACAGAGCCAAATATCAACAGTACAACGATTGAAACTTCTTTCGAGAGCCAAATTTTTTAAACTTAAACTATATAGGTAGGTACATTGTTATTAACTTAATTAGGGTACTCCTAAGGCTTAGGAAGAGCCACACTCAAGGTGGCCAAAGAGCTGCATGTGGCTCACGAGCTACAGTTTGCCGACCACGGCCGTAGGTCAAGCTTGTATTTCTTGTCTCTTGAACTAATGTATAATCTCATAAATCCACCTCGAATTGTTTTCCCCTCTGACCTATAGATATATTCCCTATGTGCAGCTCTTATACCACTGAACTATAGCTCTAATCTATTTAATCAACTTCCTGTTTTGACTGGCATTCAAATTTCCATAAGGTGGTCTCACATTATCTTTCTAATCTCCCTCATTAACCTGTCACCTGTCCTGCACTTCAGCTGCTTTGAGATGACTGGTCTCCATTACCACCTACGTTTTCCTATCTCCATCCTTTAGTACCCATCCAGGATGGCAGCTGGAATATTTTTCTTTACCTGAATCCCACTGCCACCTGAAAAAATTCTTCTCAACCTTTGTCCTTTAAGATTCAACTTAGAAGAGAAGATGTCTGTGCTTCAAAGCCTCCCTGCCTTTTTTTCCCCCTGCCAGAAGAGCCACTTACTGCTCTCTGTAGGTAGTTCCACAGACTCACAGAACCACCAGAGATTTGAGCTCAAGGTGCCTTAGAAACCATCTGGTCCAAACTCTTTTCTTTATGAATGAAGAAACTTAGGTCCAGAAGTAGAAAGGAGCTTCCCCAAGTCACAGAGTGAATTCATTGCCGTGTTGCAACGTAACACCGGGGTGAGTCCCCTGGATAAGTAAGGGCACTTTCAGGCCAAGGTGTGTTGCTTCTTGACCACATCTGCGCCACCTTATCCTCCTCCTTCAAGTCTCTGATGCAAAGCAAGGATCTGGCAAATGTTTGCTGAATTGAGAGGGAGCTCTGGATGTACAGGATGGGAAATGGGAGGGACTCTGGGGCTCCAGCGGGGTGAGGGACCTGACCGGCAGGGATTTCGAAGTGGTGGCTCTGTACCTAGTGTGCGAGGACAGCTCTTGCTGAGGAAGACGTTTGATTATAAAGCGAACTGACATATAAGTCATGCTTTTGGGGGAGCGGACTGGAGAAATACCCACCTCTGGAGCTCTTTCTCCGTTTCCCTAGGGAAGAAAAGGAAAGATGCAATTCAAGGTTTGTGGTATCCTAAACAAATGTGGTATCCTAACATTTCAAGAAGTTAGCAACTCCCTGGCTTAAAAATGCAGAGATTTTCAAGTCAATATGCAACTAATGAGAATGTAATCTATGGAAAGAACAGAAGGGACAAGTTGAAAAAGCAGAAAGTGGCCTTTTTGCTTTAAGGAGATGATGTCACTCTGTTTATTAAACAGGGGAACTAAGAGACAGGCCCAGATTAGCTTGGAAGTTACACAGAGCAAGAAGAGGTCATCTGGTCCACCCCTCTTGTTTTACATGAGAAGGGAAGCTTGAGATGGACTAGCTCACCACAAAAAAAAAAATTGTTGGGATAGCTATAACCTGAACTGAGCAGGTACCTGCCACCAGACCATATACATGAAAACAAAACCAAGTTCTTACTGAATCAATTTGAATTAATCCCTTTGGGGAAAAACAGAAGCCCTAGTGGGGCTGGAAGCCACCAGTTAAGAAAACAATTAAGGGTGATTTGGAGGCAGAAATGATGTTTCAGTTAACTCACTGGTCAGGCTAGTAGAAGGTATATGTAGACCCAGGCCTTTTCAGACTTACGGTACCTAGATCTGTATAAGGCCTTCTCAGCCAGGGCATTGCTAACATTTGGGTCTGCATTATTCTTTTTTTTCGAGGCCTGTCCTGTGCATTGTAGGAGGTTTAGCAGCATCCATGGCCTCTATCCACTAGATGCTAATGTCACTCCCTCCCCTTCCCCGAGTTGTGACAACCAAAAATGTCTCCGGACATTGTCCCCTGTGCTCAATGACCACTGATCTATACTACTGCATGCTGAATCTTGCTAGCACAGTTGAGAAGTGGTGAGTACATATCACCAGCTGACATAGTTTAAATTAAAGGCAAATTTGAGAAGGCTAGGATGGATGCATTCATGTTTCATTGACTGTTTGTATGCTGTACCACGCACCATATTTTCCTCTTGTTTTAGCCTTAGAAACACCACAGTCCTGATGTGTTGCCCTAAGAACAGAAGCAGAGCCTGTCTGCACAGTGGCCCTGACTTGCCTGGACTCTGCAGAGGCCCTCCCTGGCCCCAGCTTCTTGACCTTAGGTGCTAGCTTTATTACCAATGTGGATGTGTTTGCGGATCCAGGGAAGCACTTTACTAAGATCTGTGAAGATCCCAGGGGATCCTTGATCGTCTTTCTGCACATTGTTCCTCCAGCCTCGACCACAGCCTGAACCCCAGGAAGTCACACCAGCAAGAGTCCAAGTCCCTTTCTTATTCCGGCACATGAGGGAACCTCCTGAATCTCCCTGGAGGGGGAAAAGCCTCTGTTACCATCATGGTCAGTGTCTGTGCCCCAAAGTGCTCACGCTTCCCCCCCCCTCCCCCCAAGATGCTAGATGAGGATGAATGACATTTCTTCGCTCCTAATAATTTGGACTCGGGCCTGGGAGAACAGGCAAGCACAGCTCACATTAGACCCTTGGGTATCATCGGACCCTATCAGCTCCACCTCCTTCTCTGCATCCTAGGCTTTCATCACATAGTCAGGCTGTCTTCCTGTTCCCGTCTCATCTTGCAGGCTCAAAGAAGTCTTGCCCCGTACTAAAAATGACCGCAGGTCTTGCTCAGCAGGAGGGACGGAAGGAAAGGAAGGCTCCTGTTACACATGAACCTGAAACTTCTGGATAGGAAAGAGCCAGCCATTCTTCAGAGGTGGAGAACCCTGAGCTCATCATTGGCATTATCTGTTACTTAGTCTTTTGGAAAAAGTGGAAAACCTCTTCTGAATTCACACTCCCTGCTATAAACAGATGATTCAGACTGTCTCTTTATTTTGACTCAAACCTCTCCTGCCACTCTTGACACTTCTTTTCAGAGTCCATTCTTACAGCTGCGGGAAGCCCTGCCTGGGACCCATCAGCCTAGCTGCTCCCACCTACCTGACATGCATCTCTGCCTCCGTCAAGGAAGCCTGTGCAGAGAAAGGTCTGCCCACTGATGGGTTTATTTAGGGTTAGCAGAGCTGCCACACACTCTTCCTGGGTCAAGATGGGCAGGTTCACTTCTTGCAAGACTTGCGGGAGGATGCCGTCTAGAACACACAGAGACGAGAGCCCCAGCAGGCTACTCTTCTACCCTTTCGGAGTCGAAGATGCCTGCTCCAGCCAGGTTTGTGTCTTTTGAAAAGACCTGAACTTCTAAGTACATTTTTACATTTCCTCTTTTAAAACATGTTTGCACAATTGTTTTCTTAAAAAGTAACCGCTTAGAAATTCTATTTTTGGATTGCCCAACAGAAAGTTCTGACACCTGGTTAAGGGTAGAGGCATAGAAGTTCTTACTTTCAGTCAGGCGGCCCCAGCCTGCAGTCGTGCAAATCAATCCAGCCTTAAATTGTTCTCCTGGTTCTGGAAGACACATGGGCCCCACAGACGGGCCTGAAAAAAGAGCAAGGCAGGGCATGGAGGAGAGGTCACCAGATGCACCCACCCACTGGCATCTAGGTGGTCCCCCCAAGATCTTGTAAGAGTTGTGATATTTCTCCCTGACACTTTCAGGTGTCACTTGCCAGACAAAGAAAGACACTCTACATAATCCTATATCTGAAACTATAAGCAAAAGTGTTTCAGGTAGGGGACCCTCCACCCCTAACCCCTGTCTCTAAGTCCATGACCCAGAATTGCTGGGCATATCATGTACTATAAGGAATGTGCTATAGAACAGAATTTATGGAGAACATGGGATAGATAATTCAGAGTGAGCCTGAAATATTTACCAAAATGGAAGGTGCCAGCCATCTTCAAAAGAGCAATGTCATAATCCATTGGTTTTTTGGTGGAGAACTGGGGGTGTATGATGATGCTTTCAATGGTGAGGGTTTGCTCTCCTGGCTCTTTATGGCTCAAGTCATGTTTTCCAGCAGTAACATTCAAAGTCGATGCAGTATTTCTATTAAAGAGGAAGTAGTAGAATGAATTGATTTCATTGAGCCTCTGAGTACAATTATAATGGTTGACAAAGTGGCCTCTTCAAAATGGCATGGATGGATAATGGGGTGGGTAGGAGGCTGCCGGACAGAGAAAGTGAGAATGATTCCCACACTCTTGCTAAAAATGCAGAGGTTTTCAATTTGATTGGGGAGTAGTAATGAATGGCCTCAGGAGTCAATGATGTAATAAATCGAGTGCTCTGCAATTTCATTTATAAAATGTCTAAAGCTGTAGATACTTTATAATTCAGGGGTCCAAAGCTGTAGTGGACTTCATTTAGCTACCCTAGGTGGTTGGCCTGGCCTCAGTATCAGCAAGTGTCTTGTGATCCCACTAAGTATGTTGCTTTACTGTCAGAGAGCTAATGCAGAATGTACATTGTGAATGGCACAACAGCACCATAACTCTGCTGTCCCAGAGAGCATGCCCTCTCAGGACTTCGGACTGATTACAACAATGGGAGGTGGGGATCTTCCTACTTCCTTTATGTTTATAGTTTAGAGACCTGGCATGGCCTGGGAAAGACCATTCTATTTCCCTTCCTGAAGCAAACTTATCTGAAAGGAACGGGATGGGATAAATTGAGATGGATTAAGAGCTTTGGGCTTGCCATCTTTTGGGACCCTTTGCTCCCAGATTTTATTAAAAACAAAAACAAAAACAGAAAGGCCTTACTTTTCTCTTGATATACTTTCCTGGCTCTTGGCTATATTAAGTACCTAACCTAACACATAGCAACTCCCTAACCTGGGCACCTGACACATTAGGGGAATTGTTAAGTGATTCTTCTTTAGACTGTCAACTCTCTGGGGGCAGGAATTATGCCTTACTCATCTTTGCAGATTTGAAATAGGATAAATATGGGGACATGATCTTGATTGCAGCCTAATGAACATCGAGAGCACTGGCAACAATAGAACATTTGAAACACACAGGAAAGTGGATTAAGCATGGAAGTTGTTAGATTGAAGCTCATAGAGGCGGGGTCAATATGAAAGAAGATGTGGGAGCCTTCGTTATGTTTTACTGGCCTCTACTTGTTCTCTTTTATACATGTCTTAAGTTGCATAATGAACTGCATGATTCTTTTTCACTGAAATTTAGGAAAACCAGGAGAGAACTTTCACAAATATATCTTTGTGATGCTTTTTCTCACTTGGATATTATTCTTTATTAATGTCCATTCATATTTAACTACTTCTGCAAGAGATTATGTTTTCTACCAGATTGAGTACCCTCTGACAACATCACTGAGCCCCATTTGTGTTATGCAGTTAAGATGTTCTCTCACTAAAGCATACATCACACAGTTCCTGTTTTAAAGAGTTATTGTTGCTGATTCTAAGGGAAGAGAGAGGTCATCTGCCCTTTACACATGTGCTGGGCCCTCCCCTACCTGTTTGCAACGCAGTGAGCAGCCGTAATCACCCACTGTGGAGAGATGATGGTTCCACCACAGATATGTTTCTGCCTTCGTTTCAGAGACACCTGAATTGCAAAGACCTTAAATAAGAGCAAGTTAATGCCCTGGTATCCCCAAAACCTGGAGACTGAGCATATTCTGAAAAATAGACCCAGATATACCCTTCATAACTATTAGCAATCATGGACTGTGAAGGTATAAAACCCATTTCACTGTAGCTCAGAAAAAAGAAAAGTGCTGGAACCAGAACCTTCCCAGCCTGGTTCCCAGGTAGTTAATCTCAGATCATTGGCTATAGTATTTATTTTTATGCATTGATGGCATTTATTAATTTTTATAATAATATTCATACTGTTACTCTAACAATATAAACAATATCTGTAAATGAAGAGAAAGAAAAAGAATAGTAAGATACAGCAGAATCCAGATGAGCAGGTCTGAGAGAAAGGCCATGGGGGAGGGCTAAAGAGTCTTAAAACATGTGCTCCAAGTCCTCCAAGCCTCTTGGAGAGATAGTCTAGACCTACAGTTTTCTGGGACTCTTAACTGTTTGACCTCTACCACTTCTTCAAGCCTATTTTTAACTCTGCCTCCATCTTTGGTTTATCTTGTTCATGATATTTGATTTGACTCTAAAATGACTTACAGGGTACAATTAATACTTTTAATTCCATTGTTGGAATAAGAAAGTAAGCAATTTATTAGAATTGTTCCCTTTCTGACCAAATATTATTCAATGAATGATTGAAAAAAATATTTAATACAGAGAAAAGGCTAAGAATATAATAAACAGCAAGTAAGTAAAAGTCAGTGATTCATCCCTGATTATGATTTGAATATGGACTTCTGAATTGACTAGCTAACCAAATGCCAAGTAAGCAACTGATCAATCAGCTCTTCAACCAAGTTAATTCATCAACCTAGTGAATACAAACTCAATCGACCAACCATTCTAAATATCCACTGGACTAAAAGTTCATATGACTGGCTTAAGAGAAGTAAAAATAAAGAGCTATTACTCTACTTGCAAAAGTAAATGACAAGAATATAGTGTGGCTCCCAGGGTAAAAAATAAAGGTGGGGGACTTGTAAGGAGAATAAATGTGAACACCACTGGCCAAGGGCAGAAGCTCTAAGACATTTCTATTACAGGGGAGGACCAGGAAATTAGATTGAGACAGAATTCTTCAGACATTAGCTAGTAAGAAGGTAGTAGGCTTGATTATTCCCTGAGAGGTCATATGGAATAGGTACAAATCTTAAACCTCAGACATAAAGTAGACTTGTGGATATGACACCATTGATTTCCCTGGTCATCATTAACTATAATGAGATAAGTATGTTTTAAATCTATGTATTGAATCAGAAAATTATTTTTTAAATTGTAAATTTAAAAGTTTTTCATCTTAAAGTGGGATTTTTGTTTTAGGAGTTGAAAGTTTGGGATGTCTTTTTCAATTTTGGAAACAAGCCAATAGTGCATGTAGCTATTCTGGACACACCTTTTCTGTAATATAACTGGTCTTACAGCATGAGGGACTTGAACCCTTGTACAGACTCATGAGATCTCTGATGACGAGCTAGGCCGAATGGAGTGCACTGGTGAGTAGCAGGTGATTTTGAAGTATCAAATCCCAAAACAGCTCATAGTCTACCCACCAGATAATGTTCTCTGAGACTCACCTGCCATGGGTAAGAGCCCTTTACCACTTGGCTTCCCCCAACAATGCGACTAAAACCATTCAGGTAATTCCAGGGCTGTGCCTTCACTTGACTCTGCCCACAAGTGGAAGCTGGAGAAATGAAAAGACCAAAAATAATTATTAGATAGCTTCTGAGATTGAGAGACACAGCAAAGTCTTATGAGCAAGAAAAACTGTAGGGCCTGGATCATGTAGAAAGACTACAAAATGGCTTTAAGTTAGTTCTGGGGTTTGCTATGGTTTGCAGTACGAAGGGGTTATTCAGCTTTTGTCACATAGAACATAGGTAGCATGAAAAAATATTTTCTACTATGAAGATTAAGGGCCTTCGAAATAGATCTTCACTGGGTTAGCAGGAATGCAGCCCCTTTTTGCTTATGAGTAATCTGGACCCCTAGAGCAGGGGTGGGGAACCTTTGTTCTGCCAGGGGCCATTTGGGTATTCATAACATCATTTGTGGGCCATACAGAACTATCAACTTAAAAATTTGCCTGCTGTATTTGATCAAACATTTATTAACTCACCCCTAATGCCTTGACAGGGCCAGACCATGGGCCTGACGTTCCCCACCCCTGCCTTAGAGGCTCTTCACAGCACTCTGTACTTCTATGACATTAATTGCATATATTATGGTTATTTATGACTTTAAAATTACATATATATATGTATATGTATATATCTATTAAAATTTAAAATTACATATATATGTAATTACACACACACACACACACGAAAGGACGGGAGGAGAGAGAGAGATAGAAACATCAATTATAAGAGAGAATCATTGATAGGTGGCCTCCTGCAGCCCCTCTCCCCCATTGGGGATCGAGTCCCCAACCTGGGCATGTGCCCCGGCCAGGAATCGAACCCTGACCTCCTGGCTCATAGGTCAGTGCTCAACCATTGAACCGCACTGGCTGGGCTGGTTATGTCTGGCTTTCAAGCTAACTAGACAGTGAGCTCCTCAAAGATATGAACTTAATCTTAGAGATATCTATATCCAACATTATCTAACACAGTTCCTGATATAGAAAAGTTGCTCAGTTAATTCCTTCAGTAGGTGGATGATGCCATAGTCTGTCTTCGATTGTAATTGTGTGTGCATCTTTTCCCCCTCACAGGGGACTGAGTGTGAGACCATAGTTGTGGTACCTGGTACACAGTTCGATATTAGATTTAATTCTCTCTGAGGGTAGAAAGTAGCAGATTGTTCAAGGAGAGTGGAGAAGACTGTGTCGTGATTCACACACCAGACTGGTGTTAGGATAGAAGGGTTGCCAGATAATGGAAGAAATAACTTTTTTGTCTTTATGGAAAAGATTTTGGCCCTGAAAACATTGCATTTACTTATTAGCCTCAATTTTTTTTTTGACTTGTCAGTTAAGAGAGGCATTAGATTAATGTTTGCAGCTGCCAGGGATGGCAGATCATTCTTTTCTGTGTTTTCTGGAATGGCCTGGAAAGCCCCGCCTCACAATCACCACACTTCTTTGGCTAGCTGAGTCCTCTAAGACTTATCTTCAGCCTGGAGGTCACCTCAACTGAGAAGTCTTCCTTGATTTCCTCGAGATGTGTTTTAAGTGTCTCTCTTCTTTACTCTGTAGCACTCTTTTCTTTCCCCTTTTGTAGTTTTGCCATGCAACATTGTGATAGTGAATTGTTTGTCTCTCCCTCATTGGAGTCTGAACTACTTGAGGAAAAAAAAAAACACACTCTATGTCTTTTTTCACCTCTGCATTTCTAAGGTTTAGCACAATTCCTAGCACAGAGTAGACACTTAGAAAAGTTGGGTGGATGAACATACGGTTTTCCTAGAGAACGTATCCTTCAGAGCACAGCTATTTAGGTTAATATGTTAAAATATACAAAGCTCATTCAAATAGCTTCTCATTTAACCCTCCATTCTATGCCTATGAATCAAGTGCTGTTACCCCTTTTACAGATGGGAAAACAAAGAATCAAAAAGATGCGCAGCTAATTAATGACAAAGCATGGATATAACACTAAGCCTTTTGATTCCGAACCCACTGCAGCCGTGACGTTGGATCAGAAGCTTATTTTCTAACTGTTTCAACTGAATGAAGCATCAGTACCTTAGAAATAAAATGTATTATAGTCTGAACTCATTGGAGCAAAGAGAGAAAACATGATGATTCTCAGGATTGGCACGAATCTGACTGTGGAGAAGCCGGCCAAGAACTATTCTCAGTGAGCATGCTTCATATTTCCCAGCAAGACAGTTTTACAAAAAATTACAGATGCTTCAAAATTTATGCTGATTTCCCGAATTTGTTCCATGAATGAGGATGGGGTTGTGTAACATGACCAAATAAGTGAACAATCCAGATCAATGCGACTTGTCAAAGTTGTATTCCATAAACGTTTTCCCCAGTTTTATAGCTGATTTCAGGAGAAAAGTTCAAAATAATTACATGGAAGACAGTTAGGGCTCCAAAATATATTTGCTTCTCTGGTTTTCCCAAAGGAATCTGGAGTAGAGTTATGATGCTCATTGACAGTAAAGGTTATTCCTTCAGACAAGGATAACTATAGTTTCTTTGAAACTTACCTTTGGAAAGAGAGAGAGTTGCAGATTTACCTTGTTGCAAACAGATCATTCCCAGTAGTAAAAACAGTTTATTCTTACTCATAGGCATTTTGAGATTCAGAGTTTTTTCCTGAAATTTTAAAGAGTCCAGAGAAAATCAAAATAGAAAACCTTGTGAGACCAGCAGTAAGCCCATTTAAAAGGAGGTTATTCATTAACCAAGACTTGAGGCATTCAACCATGTCCAGATGATGTTTCTGAATGTGGTTTCTTGCAAAGATCTTTGTAAGATGTGGGAGTCAACCACAGAGCATGGTCTTGTTCAAGCAGTATTACATGTCCCATTACATTCACGTCAACTTGTTGCTTCCCAGAGCGTATCTGGCTAGCCAAGTGGTTGGTATCTAAGTAATGGTTTGCAAACATTACTTATTTCTTAGTACAAGTTACCGCTTTCTACAAGAGGGTTGGACATCAAAGGTGTCCTTGTTTGCAAAGATAGACTGGACTACACCCCTGCAAACAACCCATGAGAATATGCTAAGCCATTTTTCTTCTCTTATTCTCCAAGTCTAAATGAATAGTTATAAGCATGTGTTAGAAAGGAGAGGAAAGATAATTTGGTGGCACAGTCAGGAAGTCAGGTGTCTGGACTCATTTTGGGTACTGTCTACTGGGGCATTTGTGAATCTGCATTCTCTCACTATAGTATTGTGTTTACAGGAGGCAAACACTAAGTCTCCTTCACTTCTACCCTTGGCAGCTGATGCAGTTGATGTGGCATGGGAGGTGGCTCTGATTATGTGCAAGTCTTCCCTGGCTGAGTTTGTGACACATGGTCAATGTGTGAGAAGCAGCAATGGATTGGCCAGTGCTATCTATGACCACGTAGGAATAGGTATGAAAAGCAGGAAATGCCAAGGCTGAATGAGTTAAATTGTGGGTCACTTTGACAGACAACAGCATCATGGGTTTTCCTGCAGCTCCCTAAGGAACAACTAAATATGAACCACAGGATGGTTGTTCTAGGTCATTGCTGCTTCTCAGAAATAACACAGATGATCAAAGCATAGCCCCACTAATTATGTTGATCCAAATAAAGTCTCAAAACTAATTAGATCTATGCATTGCAGTGCTTATATGCAAATAATGAAGAGAATAAATGAAGCCCCTGAGACCTTAATTAGTATATCAGGCAGCATACTGGTATAGGTACATGTAAATACACCTAATTTTCTCAGTCTCATTGGATTTTCAGTGGAATGTTAGCAAACCTGTGCATATCTGATGCTGAGGTACGTAAAGTCTTGTATTCCAAATAGTCCTAGGTCCAGCACAAATAAGCCCTGTTTTATAGAGATGATTCCTAGAGTCTGTCCCCTTATAACATTTGACCAGCAGGTAGGATTTGTTATTGATTTTTGAATGTCCTTTGCGTATGTAGATGCTTATTTGAAGTATATTCTCAGTTATGGATTATTCATTTATTGACATCCATAGTAGGTGTTCTAACATAACATCTCATTTAACAGTGACCTTGAGAGGTAAATGTTATTATTATATTGTTTTTTAAAATAAGGAAACTGAGTCTCAGAGTGTTATATAACTTTTCTAGATCACCCAGCTATCAAGTGGCAGACGTGGAATTTATCCCCCAGAGCTTTGGGGTCTGAAATCTTATTTTACTTTTGTTACAGCACTGTATGTGTGCTTTTCAAATCACACTGGCATTCATATCATATTTTGAATTGGAGTCTTTCACGTAGATATTTTCTTATAAAAATACAAGATCTATTCTAGATTTCTGCCTTTTAACCTCTGATGCAATTCTAGGGACTAATTAATGAAGCCAGCAACTGATTAAATGCACTGGTTTAATGACCACTAAATATTTTTCATAATGAAAGTGATGAATGATACGGTTCTGATAGTAATTTACCTGTACATATTGTAAAAACATTTTTAATGTTGACATTCTTTAAAAAGTAGCAAACATTCCATTGGGCAGTACAGGAGTCCACAGGTAGTTGAGGCCATTCCTTTAAAAAACAATGGCGTTTCTTCTCTCTCAAATAGCAGGCTTATGATATTTGATAGCAGTATTTCCAAAGTATTATTTGATTTAATCGTATTTTTTTATTTAATGGTACTGATTCTTTTCATTGTTTGGTACTTGCTTTTTCAGTGGCCTGGCTTCTCTCTTATTGAGATTCTGGGTTGACCTCAAAAGTATGTGTTGTTGCGGTTTAGTTGAGCTTCTCTTTTTTAAATTCTTATGTTGATATTGTCATCACATTTCTCTTAACTCAGCTACAAATTCCCCTCTAACACATCAAATGCTTTCTTAATCTGTCCACTATTCTCAGCCTTTATTACTGCCATGCAAGCCAGCACCATATTGCAGGATTAAACTCTACAACAGTCTAACATCTTTCTGTTAATTCTCTTACTTCTCTACAATTTGTCCCCTTAGAGTAAAAAGCCAGATCTATTTTATATAATTTAGATTGTGTCATTGTTTACAACTTTGCATTGTCTTCCCATTGCACTTAGGATACTCCCATCATGGCTTCTTCCTAGCTCTTGACTTAATCTCCTTTTGCTCTATCCATCCACATTGGTTTGCTTTTCTTCAAATGCACAAAGCCATCACTTCTCAGGGCCCTTGCACTGGTTGCTTGCAGAATGTTCTTCCCTCTACCTTAGCATGGTTGGTTGGTTGGTGTTGCTTATGCTTTATTGGAAATGCCCCTCCACAGAGAGGTTTCTCCTGACCAATTTAAAATTAGCCATGCAACATGCATGGTCCCAAACCCTTATCTGCAATGCTGCACAGCTCTTAAAGCACAAGGCCCTTTGTTGTGGAGACTGGAACTGTCTCCAGACACTTTCAGTTTGCTTCGGCTTACTTTGCTGATTATCATCAACTTTCATGTAGTTTTAAAAAATATATGATTTCATTGATTTTTGGAGAGGAAAGGAGAGGAGTAGAGAGATAGAAACATCGATGAGAGAGAAACATCATTAAGCAGCTGCCTCCTTCACACCGCCTACTGGGGATTGAGCCCACAACCTGGGCATGTGCCCTAACTGCCACTCACCTTTCACAAAAATCAACTCAAAATGGATTAAAGACTTAAATGTAAGACCTAAAACTGTAAGAAAAAAATCCCAAGATTAAAACATATGGGGAAAGCTTCATGCCGTTGGTCTTGGCAATAATCTCTTTGATATGACATCAAAAGCATAGGCAACAAAAACAAAAACAGAGAAGTGAGAATACATCAAACTAAAAAGCCTCAGTGCGGCAATGGAAACAATCAACAGAGTGAATAGGCAACTACAAAATTGGAGAAAATATATCTAATAAGGGGTTAATTTCCAAAATATACAACTCAGTTAAAAAATGGACTAAAGATATTAGTAGACACTTCTCCAAAGAAGACATAAAAATGGCCAACAGGTACTGAAAATATGCTCAACATCACTAATCATGAAATAAATGCAAATCAAAACTACAGTGAGATACCACCTCACACTTGTCAGGATGACTGTTTTCAAAGAAACAGGAGATAAGTGTAGGTGAGGATATGGAGAAAAGGGAAACTCTTGTACATTGTTGCTGGGAATGCACAATCCTACCGCTGCTTTGGAAAACAGTATAGAGCAGTGATGGCGAACCTTTTGAGCTCGGGGTGTCACCATTTTAAAAAACCCTAACTTAACTCTGGTGCCGTGTCACATATAGAAATTTTTTGATATTTGCAACCATATAAAACAAAGACTTATATTTTTAATATTTATTTTATATATTTAAATGCCATTTAACAAAGAAAAATCAACCAAAAAAATGAGTTCGCGTGTCACCTCTGACAGGCGTGTCATAGCTTCGTCATCACTGGTATAGAGGTTCCTCAAGTAGTTAAAAACAGCTACCATATGTTTCAGTAATTTCACCTGTGTATTTTTCTCTAAAAGAATTAAATCAGTACCTCAAAGAGATATTAGCACTCCCATGTTCATTGCATCACTATTCACAGAAGCCAAGATATGAAAGTAATCTAAACGTCCATTGACAGATAAATGGATAAAGAAAATTTGGAATATACATACATTGGAATATTAGTCTTAAAAAAGAAGGAAATTTTGCAATATGCAACAACACGGATAGACCTAGAGGATATTATGCTAAGTGAAATAAGCCAGTACCAGGACTAATATGATTCTACAATAGTTAAATTCATAGACTTAAGAATGGAATGAAGGTAGCCAGGGGCTGGGGTTAGAGTGACATGGGGAGTTGCTAATCAATATACATAAAGTTTAATTAAGCAGGATGAGGAAGTTCTAGAGATCCGCTGCAGAACCCTGTACCTATAGTTAACAGCACTCTATTGTGTATATGTATTTAAAAACTTAAGAGGATAAGTCTCATGCTAATGCTGAGTGTTCTTACCACAATAAAACAAACTTTTAAAAAAGTAGGTCATTTATTCACTCAGTCATTCATTTGTTTAGTACTGCTATGAACTAGGCACTCTGCAGTACTCTAAGAATTAAGTGTTGAACAAGGCAGACATGATTCCTCCCTCATGGAAGGTGAAGGACAGTAGGCAACAAAGTTAACAAAAGGAAGCTAGACTTTGGGTGGTGAGCACACAATGGAGTATACAGATATGGAATTCTAATGCTGTGCACCTGAAACTTATATATTATTAACCAGTTTTACCTCAATAATTTTAATTTTAAAAATTACCCAATAGAAAATTTTAAATCATTAAAACAAAGTCGGAGCCAACTCAATGCCATGTAACACATACACAGGCAAAACAAACAAACAAACAAGACGTTAAGCAATTATTTACAGCAGTAACTATATAATTGAGGACATGATAAGTGCAAAACATATTTAAGGGTTCTCTGAAACTGCTCACCAGGATAATATAATTTAGTCCAATTTACATTCCTACTAGCAGAGTACAAAGATTCCTTTTTCCCACATCCTTTTCAACACTTACTAATTCTTGTATTACTGATAATGGCCATTCTAACAGGTGTGAGGTAGTATCCCATTGTTGTTAAGTTGTATGAGTTCTTTATATATTTTGG